GGGGGGGGGGGGGCGCAGGAAGGTCTAATGCCGGTGACCGGTGAACGGTGACCGGTGACGTGCCTTCCCTGCCCCCTTCGGAAAATACTCCCAAAATGATGTGGTCGTCGGCCTGCACTCCGCTCATGATCCGTGAAACGCTTGGCACTACCACATCTGATGGAGCGAGAGTTCGATCAGCACGTGACCCTTGACCCCTGCCCTCGCGCGTGGACGATAGGCACCTTGCCCTCATGCTCTCCCGAATGGAGATGCCTCGCCTTCCGGGCTCTGCACCAAAACCACAGCAAGACCGGGTCGAATCGTCGATAAGGCCGCCTCGGCTTGTCGCCTCGGCCCCCCGAACACATCGTCGTGTGGCAGCGAGGAGGCGCCTCCAATTCTAATTTTCTTGCGACTTCTTAGGCGTTGTGATCCGCCGTTTGGTCCGCTTGTGTGGTTGGTTCCAGCAAGAGCTTCTCTGCTATTGATTTGTGCGACTCCAGTGCCGATGACGGAGATGGCAGGGGCATCACCGGTGGGCGTGTCCGCTCCAAACTTCGCTTTTCCTGCAACCGTTTTTTTTAATATTCCGACGGTTCCGCCGAAATCCGCAGCGTTTTCCCGACCAACCAAGCCGCGCGGTCGCACGGACGGGGTTCGGGTGGGCGGGTGCGCGAGGAAACACCAAGGACCAGAGAAACAGCGAGAAGGACCGAATTCGGGTTGATCTTCGTTGGGGGTATGCAGGAGCTATGCATGGCAGCATCGAACGCGTTGGAAGCAGTTTAAGAAGTGACTGTCACAATCTATACTTCGCCGTCGAATTCCTCCGCGAGAGCTTCTGGATTGGATACGCCAGGTGACGTTTCGGGCATGTGTGCCTCATCTATGTAGCCTGCGACAATTGAAATGGCTCCTCTCTAATCTGGTGTGCGAGGAAGCACTTGGAAGTACTGGAGTGAGACCGGAACTCGTGCGTGTTGCCAAAAGACTACGGTAGGGAAGGGAAAATAAAACGCGTAGAAGATCCTCACCTGAAGCTTCGCAAAGGAGTACATGAAGCCGCCTATCATGCTCACCAACATGAACTCTCCCATCTGTGTGCTAATCGCGCTATCGAACAGCTGATACCCCAAAAGCGCCGTCGGAATCTGCACCAAAACAAACAAAGAACGTGTCGCCGATCGCAAGCAGAGAGGGAAGACGGCAGCGATGAGCAATCCCGTGTGGTGGACATACCTCAGAGTCGTACGTTGGAACCTGATCATCCACGTTTTACCGATCTCGGAAGGCACAACGTAGTATAACCCCCGCAAATGCAAGACAGCGGTTGTGCAATGTTGCCGGTGTTGACAACAACACACTATTAATACCACCCTTGGGATATCAAAATCGACGCGCAGAAAACAGTCCAAAGCCGACAGCAGGCCAATGCGGGAAATATTCTTGTAATGCTTCCAAACATCAAGGATATTGGTCGAAACAGTAGTACAAGGAGAGAGCGGATGGCGCTTCCGGCTACACCTTCACGGAAACCATAACGGGGTCACGCAAACGAAAACATGGCACAGGTGCACAAGTCCAACTCATTGAGAAAACGACATGGGAATGCATCCGAGGCAAAAAAACGGAATTGAAAAAAGGTGGCGGTGAACGAGGATGGGGATGAGGGGGAACACATAAGCATGTCTGTCCCGAAGGATGAGACCATGAGAACGCCCGAACTCCGGTCTTATCAGAGTGAGATTGGAGGACACCTCTCCACAATCCCGCTGACAGAGAGTAAGAATTAACTAAAATAGAAAAAGAAGTGAGTGAGAGATAGACAGAGACAACGATGGAGATTGAGAGAGGGTGAGGTGGCAAATAACCGAAGCGAGAAGGTCGGGGGTGACTCACCACGTTGACCGATCCCACCACGGCGTAGGTGGTGGCAGAGGTCGCCCCGACGCACCACAAGGATGCAAAGTTCAGCATGACCCCCACAACGCCTGCCGAAAGTCAGACAAGGTACATAGAGAAGCAGGAAGTTCACGGTTGATGCGCGCCAGCCTAGGCACCGGTGCAACATCATACAACACACAAAGGCACAACACACACGAATCCATTCCAACCCTCGAGGGTCGTTTGCGACAAACGCCGTCAAGAGTGCCCGCTGCGAAGAATTCTGGCAGAATCGTCGGGGTAGTCCTTACGGCTGACCTGAGAACAGGAGAGCGGCTATGTAAGTGACGGTGCGAAGCTGCGGCGTGGTCCAGAAGATCGTGAAGTCACCCATCATGAACGCCGCGGGAGTGAGGAGGCAAGTCGTCAGGAGGTTGTTGTAGAACACCATGCCGAACCTCGGGAGCTTGATGGACTTCGTCGCATGCTTCATGTACAACACGTAGCCCGCCGTCGTGCAGCAGTTCGCCACCATCCAGAAATACCCCCACGGGCTGCATGCCATCAACCACGAAAGGAAGCACGAAAGGCAACAAAAAAACACCGTCGGTAGTTCAGGAAAATACGAGGGGGGGGGGGGGGGCAGGGGAGAGAGTGTGTCGGAAAAACCAACGATGGGAAGAGCAGGAAACATAGCAGTCGAGCTCGTATAGTACGCATGTCTCTTGGAGGTCGTAGGGCTTGACGAGCCAACGTCCCCCCAAAGCTCCCACTGGATGAAGTAACTTCTNGGGGGGGGGGGGGGGGGGGTGGCAGGGGAGAGAGTGTGTCGGAAAAACCAACGATGGGAAGAGCAGGAAACATAGCAGTCGAGCTCGTATAGTACGCATGTCTCTTGGAGGTCGTAGGGCTTGACGAGCCAACGTCCCCCCAAAGCTCCCACTGGATGAAGTAACTTCTTGCGCGTCTTGAACTTGATCCGTGCCACACACGATACGGTTCGGGATGTGCGAGAATGTCTTTTCTTAAAAATATGGAAGCCGTCTTGACGGGACTAGTGCTGCACTCCGGTCGAAATTTTTTTTTCATAGAATGACGATGCCTCATTCCTCTCTTGAGTCCCTTACTTGAAGTCGAGGTCGTTGTACGACGCAAAGATAGCACCGAAGACCATGACGGCCATGCTGAAAATCACCAACCAAGATGCTGCCTGCTGAAAGAACCACCAGTCTCCCGTGACGATGACAATATTCGTCAGGTTCTTGAACACCGTTACCTGGAACGGGGCAGGGAGCGTCAGCACGGATGGATGGCGTCACGAACGAAAACTCGTGTGTTGTTCTGGCGGCATAGTAGCCCCTTGCCTTCCGCGATCAGATCACGCACGCGGAAACGGACGACGTCAAACAACCTCAACGACAACAACCACCATTGTGGTGTTACCATACACTCTTTTGCGCCCTTTACCCTCCTCCGAGAAACAGCGGCGAAACCGCCACGAACGAGAACGAGAACGAGAGTGCTACGTCTGAGGCATGAAACATGTCCCTGTCAAGAGCGACCAGTGCCTTCGTCATCGCGTGTAGAGAAGTCCAGAGAGTGTGGCCTCATCATATCCAGTTTCCCAGAATGTCGTACACTGGATGCTTCCGGTCAAGGCAGAACACCACTGCATGTACCCGCCACTCCCAAGAGCTTGCAGGAAAATAGTTGAGAATATACCCTTGCGAAAGAAGGCCGTCGAAGTGCGGCATGAGACTAATGGCGCGTGGAGGGTGTGCACTTTTAGTTCTTGTTTTGCTTTCGGAGGGGGGCACCAAGTGTGCGGCACTAAGCTTGTCTAGAATAAATGTTCATCGCCTCAGGTTTTAACATACTTGATGGCGCCTATTCCGCTCGATGCTACCATGCACGTCATGCAAACCCGACACAACAATTAAGACTGGCACAGAGGGCGGTGGTGTCAACGCCAACGGTACAATAGTTGATATCCTTGCCGCCAACAACAGAGACACAGAGAGACGCCTTGTTCCACCCCACCCTCGCCACAGGAATAGCCCAGGGATCGCCGTTGGAAAAAGCGATCGAAGAAAATTTTGCATCACCGACAAGTCGTGATCAGCTGCAAGTTGTCAGCAGGCCAAAACAGGCGACAAACGGATAGCTTACTGCCACCACTGTTGTGCACGAACATTCCCAGCTACTAGTCTATACCATCAAATTCAAGAGTAGGAACACGCCAAAATAACTTTTCAAGAACAATACACCCTGTGTTATGTACAGTATGCCGAACAATCAAGTTTCGCTCTTCACCACAATGCCAACCGCAAGTTGTACATACAACGGAGTTTGTTTCGCTCACCATGGGAACGTTCATGACCTCCAGAGCCTTGAAGCTCGTGAACAGCATGGCGCTGAAGCATATGCTCACTGGCAGCCATCGCCGGGCGGTGGAGAAGTTGAAGGGGTCATAGGAAGCGTATCCCATACGTCGGACGGCTTCTACCAGAATCGTCGCCACCAAGCATTGCCCCACCACCACGAGAAACGCCATGTCTGATTTATAGGTGAACGCCAACAGCTGAAGGGTGGGAGGGAATGGTGGGAGGGAGGGAGGGAGGGAGGGAGGGAGGGAGAGAGGGAGGAGGAGATATGGGTCAAAGACAAGCGTCAACTCTTGCTTCGGGGGCTACATAAAAATGCAACATTCATGACATACGTGTGTTGCACGGGTACTTTGCGTTCGAAATATAGTTGGTACTCTTCTTGGAGCCGAGGCTACTGTAGTTGACACAAGATACGACACACACACCCTGGACAGACTGTCAGTTACTCCACGACGAAAAGGATGCCTGAATAAGCCGGTGCATTTTCGGACTGTTCTCGACGAGACGGCGCCGACGTCGCCGTTTTCGGCACCGCTACTCTTTCTGCTGCGGACAAGTCAAGATTAGAAAATCGGTTCAAGGGGTATGATACCTTGCATCACCAAGAGTAGCAGCTCTTGGGAAGCACTTAATCCGGCCTTTCTCTTTTGACGCGTCGCTGTTACCCGAGCATGCGTCGCCACGTTTCAGCATCTTTCGTATGCACACCAACAGCGGAGGTATACCCAAGCGTTGCCATGTACCCCCATCATTCCCTCTCGCTTCCATCCAAGCTACCGGCTACCCATATCGCTTGACCCTACCCAAATTCCTCTTCGTGTCTTTCCAGCATGCACATTTGTTCGCTTCCTACCAAATCCAGCGCCCCCCCCCGGTGTTTGCCATCGGGATTGGATTTTCGTCGCCTGGCAACGACGTTGTTAAACAAGCCAATTCACTTCGTGAACTCGGCAACCAGGTTACCGGTTTTTTTTTTGGCGGTAACCATAATGGTGGTCGAGTAGATCATGTTGTGCGGGGTCGAGAACCCTCACTCCGCGCAAGGGGGATGATCGCACCACGTTGTGTTAAAATGGTCAAGCACCCTCGAGGCAGTTACACAGTGATAACAACTGTCTCTGGAAATGAAAGCTCCAGAAAATAAATTAAGTCATACGCAGCTGTCATCCGTACGCAAGGAAGTAAGCACAAGATGCCGAACACCCTTAGCAGGATGCAGCGCACCCTTCATGCGACTCGCCGAATATCTCACGGCGCTTCGCGCTTGGTGATGTGAGAGCCTGGTCCGGTGAGAACCCGGCGTGCTCCGTCCCGGCTTTGTAGGGATGCGAGGTCAATGGTCTAACGACTACGGCATGCACGACTATGAGTACACGGGAGCCGG